AGTTAGCCCTTTCATTGAGAATCAATTGGTACCAATCTTGTTCAATTTTGAGTATGTCTGAATGTTAAAGGCATGAAACGCAGCAATAAATAAACTACATTTCCAGTTTTGATCTCAGTATTAATGCCCTCATTGAATGATCTGGTATATTTTCAGAGACTGAAATAATGGTCAGAATTCAATTTGAAATTATATATTTAATAAAGTCTGTATAAACTTTTTTGAGTAGTATTTTGTTAGTGTACAGAACACTAGATTACTGACTAGAGATATTTTCTGTGTTAAAAATGCTTTTATTAACTTGCCATGAAATATAACATTCATTTCCTGTCAGGCCAAACTATCTATAAAATCTTCTTATTCATTTAAGAATACAAACATAGAGGAGTATAGTATTGCTTTGGATCCTCATGGAAAATATGAACAGTATATGCATGTTTTTAAGAGTGAGAGGAGAAGCAGTTTGTGGCTATGCTCCGGTAAGCTGGGCACAGCCAGGAGTTGGTCAGATGGGGTTCTAGCTTTGCCTTGTGGCACTGAGATCTTTATGTGTGTTGGTCTTCCACTTCACTGCGCTAATGTCTCTTGCTTGTTTTGACTGTAGTCTTTTGGCATAGGTAGCATGTAGCACAGATGGAATCTGTTCTCACCTAGTACTGAGTTTACGCCCAGAGGCACTGATTTAAATGTATCTAATGTGTGAAATCAGATGAAAGAGATTCTACAGTGGTGTACGAAAATAATATAATCGTGTGAATGGAATGCATTCTGTAATTTAGTGTGTCTTTGAAGAAGATGGTAAGAGATGGTGGTGACGGGAGAAATTTTTGATTCAGAATGTTTTTCTTTGTTAAATAATAAAACACTCAAGTGTAATGTTCTGTTCAACTTTGACTCTTTAGAGTTAGAATTCCTTACCTGACGGGGGGGAGAAAGAGTGCACGTAAAGGAGAAGATCTTAATTCGTGCGGTTATAGTAACAGACCTTCACTGTCTTTTAAAAGCAGTCTGGGTTCTTGAGAATAAAAGCAGTGAAAGAGGCGGGGTGTGTGTCAGAAATTTACATGCATTTCCTTCCCCGGGAATTAATGTGAGTATAGGTGTCCACTGAAATTTTTTGTATGGTGTCCACTTAAGTTATATAAGTGAAAACTTAAAACCATCGGGAATTTTAAACTCAAAATTATTGTTCATATTGCTGTGAGCATAAAACGTCTTGTTCACAAATAGACACTACCTTCTGAAAGTTTTGGCTTTAATTTAAAAATGTCACCACGTTCCACAGCTAAATTCTAGTCGTGGGAAGTTCTTGGGGAGCAAACGCATATTTATTATGTGATTTTTGCATGGAAGCAACAGGAGAAAGGATATACAACACTTTCCATAAGCATGCATTTAAGTATTACACAAATGTAACTTTCACATTTGTGTTTCAGGAAAACCAGATGCCGCTGCTGAAACTCTTCTGGATCAGGAATGTGTAAATCCTATGAGTTACTCAAGCCAGCTAGAAGACTCTGGATGTGATGTCTCTAATGACTATGCTTTTGATTCTTTAGCTTCTGATTTTCACCAATCTGAGCATAATGTTGACACTTCTAAATGTTGGTTGGAAAGAATTCCCCCATTGAGTCTTTACTGTACTAGCAGGGAGGAATCTCTGACTGCTCCAGTGCAGTTTTTGCAACGTCTGCTTGAAATAAGAAAACTGTCAGAAGGAGGAATTGTTCAAGCAGACTTCACAGAGCTTGAGAATGATTCTTTCACTGTATGCAATTCAGTGTCTCAGTTGCTTGATGGACTGACTGTTTTTTACAACAGTCCTAAACTTCCAGTTTCAGATTTTCTTACTGAAGCAGTTTGTGTTTTGATCCGTTTAATAACTGATACTAAATTATCTAATCATGTCTTGAAGAAGTGTTTCAAGAAGCTGGAAGAATTTAAGAAAAATCTAATTCAGAATATTTTAAGAAACAGCAGTGTCAATAGGGTAAGTTTAAAACATCTTCTATCTTTTCTATACCATTTCAGTATACTGAAATATTCTCCTGGTTTTATGCGCTTTTAAAAAATATTAGGTTGTCTTATTATATTTTGAAGAGTACTTCTCAGAGATTTTTGTGATTATTCTTTTTTGTGATATGGACAATAAATGCTCTAAAGCATTCGAAAAAGTTCTTGCTCATGCATGCAAGTTCTTCTAGTCTATTCCTGAGTATAGGACTTTTAAAAACTGTTAAAAAGGCAGATCAAAACAACTTTATAGAAAATATGAGAAAACACATTGTTTCTCTTGCATTGTTTCTTCTATTATGCTACAAAATTTCTCTATATATTGTAGATATTCACAAAATAGTAACTACAATTTTTTTATTCTTTCAAGTGTACCTAGATTAAATAGGTTGGTTTGCTTCCGAAGATCTCTATCACTTTCTAGACATTTGCAAATTTGAGTTTTAAAGATACATCAGCAAATGAGTGAAGAATTCAGAAATAGCACGTACCCAGCACAAACAGCAAATAGGACTGAATTGCATTTTTTCTGTATTCATCATTCTGCATTGTTCCATGCATCATCTTGTTAGTTTCCTCATTCAACTGAAATATCCCTAGTCTGTTTTCACAAGACTTCCCGTAAGTAATGAATTCCATTGTCTGTCTTAGGATTTTTGGTTTTCATCCTGTCTTTTAGAGTAACTTGGAACAGACGCATTGGTGGAATTGTTTGAGACTTAGATGTACCAGTTTAGTGTCCACATGTATGTAACTACATTGCTGTTATTGTAAATGAAGGTTGTATCCCTATAATCCATGGACCCTAAAGAATGCTGACCAGGTGCTAGTTCCCTATTTTAGGATGAGCTCTAAAGTTGCCTTTAGCAAAATGAGAGCTTAGACATATGCTACACCTGTGGACAGATGTACCCATTTGTCTTCATTTAAAATGAGTCCCGCTCACTGTGTATTAAGTATTTATCCCAGAATGTAAATAGCAAACAAATATTATGACCAAACTAAATGGGGGGGGGGGGGGGGGTTGTTAGAAAGCATTCAGAAGGAAATCTTCATATACTGAAGCTTTTCCAGGACTAGAGCCTTGTGTCCCTAATACCAGGGGGCTTTCTATTTCTGTGTCGCCATGGTGTGATATTTAGTTTTTAATTAGAGGTGTCCCTTGTCAGTGTTTTGAAAGAATATGAGCATACATACCATTTGTGTGGTATCAGGAATAGAGGCATGCAAATGTGACTCCATTTATTATTTTTGTGTGTGTGTGGTCACAAGATACACAACGAAGAAAACTTGAGCAGGCATTCATTAAAGACTTCATAGTTGATAATGTACCAGCCTTCCAGTACCTGAAGGGGCCTACAGGAAAGCCAGAGAGGGACTGTTTACAAGGGCATGTAATGACAGGACGAGGGGTCATGGCTTTAAGCTAAAAGAGGGTAGATTTAGTTTAGACATTAGGAAGAAATTCTTCACTGTGTGGGTGGTGAGGTACTGGAACAGGTTGTCCAGAGAGGTTGTGGATGTCCCATCCCTGGAAGTGTTCAAGGCCAGGCTGGATGGGGCTTTGGGCAACCCAGCCTAGTGGAGGGGGGCCCTGCCCCTGGCAGGGGGGTTGGAACTAGATGATCTTCAAGGGCCCTTCCAACCCAAACCATTCTATGATGTCCACTGTTTCCAGCTCTTCCCCTGCTCTCCCCAAATGGGAAGTTAATAAATAATTAAAATTATGTTAATTGTAGGAGAGCAACCAATAGGTTATCCAGAGAGCAATTACTTGTTGATTGGAGGAACCTGGCAAAGCTTAAGTGAGAGGCATCACATCTTTAATGAGAGAAAATATCCTGATAGATCAGGGATGTTTCAAGTCTGCAAAGTGCTTTTGTAAATCGTTCAGGAAGGATGGAGTATGTCCACATAATTTGCAAGTGGCATCTTTTCTCTGAATAACTTCACTGAAACAGATGGCTTTTTATGACATGTTTTATATTTTGCTTCCACCAAAATATTGACTTAACAGTCATTCATATCAACAGCCATTGAAACAGATTCAAAGAATTTAAGAATTGTATAAACCAATTATTAAGGGGTAATTGTGGTAGTTTCCAGGTTTCTAGGGAAAAAGGGAAAATGTGTGTAGTAATTGCAATGTTTATAAAGATGTATTGAAAAATCCTTTTTAGAGGTTTGATTTTCTTTAAACTGAATTGAATATGAAAATAAGTATGTAGAATTCAGAATTAGTAGTGAAAATTGTATAACTAATTCTTCCTGTACTGTGTACCAGATATCTCCCAGGGACGCTTTATGCTTCAGTTTTAATCATCACTGTTTACTCAAGAGGTGATTGAAATATCAAGATTATAGGTTTAAAATAAAATTACCATTAATTACAAGGCTGTCATCTTTAAAGAGTTGCAAACTGTATGAATTTTAGTTCCAGGAGGATGCTTAAATCCCTCCAGTATAAAAACATTAGGAATTTTGTTGTATCTAACCTTACCAACTGTCAAAAAGCATTTGTACAGACAGCCCCCAATGCAGCTATAGTATTTGACACAACTTTCCCTTTGCCATCCTCACCTATAAAACTGTCAGGAGCTGTCAAGGAGGACAAAGGGCTGTGAGAAACACCTTCAAAAAGTGAACAAAGACAGAAATGGCTGTGGATTACACTTAAACCCTCATCTTCAAAAGCAATTCCAGCATTTTGCAGAGCAAATTAAATAAGTGAAAAAACCTCTGAGAACTGGAAAAGAGATAATTATCTCTACATTAGATATAACGGAAGAAAAACAGCAGCAGAATTACTTGCTGTAACTGTTGAGTCCTACTATTCAAGATGTTTCTAATTATAAAGCACTGAAAGCTGTAGGAACCAGCAGAGACATGTACTCAGAGCTTTTCTGCCTGGATTCAGTTGGCTAAAGCTGTGCACTTTAGGTAGAATTTTTGACCTGAAACTCCAAATTGACATGAGTATCAAAAGGAAAAAAAAAAAAATCTATCATTTAAGATATGAGACTTAAAATAAAAGGAAATATTACTTAAAATATAACACCATTTAAATAAAAAAACTACAAATAAAAGTAGCCTGAATTTCCCTTTTTCATTTTTCTCCTCTCCCTCCATGTTTGGAGAGCAGCTCAGAAGTCTGCACACAGCTGTCAGACACAAATCTTTTGGAAGAAGCCTTCTGGAAAGATCTAGGAGGAGCCTCAAGTCACAGCTGCTAAGGGTGAAGCGTGAGTGCTGTGAGGTTAAATCATCTGTTCAAAGGCCTGTCTCTGCACCTTCTGCTGGCATGGGCTTACATCCCTGTATGGCTGCCACAGAAAAGCGTGTGAGGATCCTGTTTGTAATTCTGGTACAGATGAGCTGTTGCTCTCATGTTGCAAAATCTATGATGGTTGCTGCTGATCTATGGAGCAATTACTTTGCTTGGCACCAGTTTTTGAGTCCTCAGCACTGCGACTCTTGGAGGTTTGTATGGGTGTGTTGCTGCTGGTGCATTGCCTTTTGATGTGCAAATTGTTCATTCATGTTGAGTCACTCTGCTGTCAGCAGAACCACTATCCTATTTAGTCAGGTTCTTTACAAAAGTGTATTATAAGAAAATTCTGTGAGTATTCAGTTTATGGAGCTGCTGGCTCTACTTTTCAAATGGACTGTTCTCTACTACCTGACAAAATATGGGAAAACATTTCCCATGGAAAACTTCGCAGGAGTTATGGTATGTAATTACAGCTCCAGTGGAGTAGAAACTGTCTCTTCTCCTTCAGAAAGAAAGCACAGGAGCATTTTTTTCCTTAATCTACCCGTTTGAGATTTGACAACAGCTATCTCCATCGACCTCCACAGCGACATAGCATCTCCTGCTCCTAAATGCATCACTCACTGGCACTGAGATGTGCCTGTTCTGTTGATGTTTGTCTGTGTTGTCCAGGATGTATTGGAACAAGGGATCATTTCTCCTCTATCAGAAAAATGCAACAGTCAGAGGCACTGGGGATTTCCAACTCCTGTGCTGTTCAGAATAGCATGTGTTTTATGTTTCTGGTGAAAGTTTTGCTCATCTCATTGCAGTAGGGCACTTCAGAGAGGACACTATAATTCCGTTTACATGGGCAGCATCCTGGAGCCTGCCTGGAAACCTGCTGTGGTGAACTTGGGCTGGCTGTAGTTTAATAGTACCTGGAATTAGCTTTAGAAATCAAATCCCTATAGCAGAAATTAAGATACTTCATGTCTTATTTACATCTCTCGTATATTCAGCTGTGTAAAACTTCAAAACAATTATTGTTAAGGAATTCGAAGTCTCGATTGTTACTTTGGAGATAGAAGAAAAATACGTTTATATCTGGCTTCTTTCAGTGCAGTTCAGCTGTATTCAAAGCTGTCATGGCCAAATACAGTCACAGGGTGCTGCATTACATAGGATTTATGTGATGTGATCCCTAGTGGTGTCACACTAGTTTATCAGCATTGTTGGCAGAAGTTCAGTTCACTGGTTGTACTTTTTAGGTGCAGATGATACTGTAATTTGGAGCATGGCTAATGCATCAATTATGTGCCAGAAGATCCTGCCTACACCCTGGGTTCTGTGTAGAGATCTGTATCTGTTTCTTGGACCTCTTGTTTTAAGGAGTTAATCAAAACACTAAAATAAAAGACATTGGTACATTGCCTTCAGGATTCTAGAGTAAAGTCAAGCTGTGTAGGGCTCTCAGAAGAGACAACTTTCTGGTGCCTTGTCACTGTTCAATAAATACCTCATCCATCTGCCCCACCTCACTCATAATCTCTTTCAAACAAACCCCGGAAGGAAAACAAATGTGTTTCAGTGAACTGTGGTTGTTTGCTTCTTTTCATGCTATGTTTAAAACATCAATACTGATTTTGAAGGTGCTGTCAAGTCATGAATTGCCTGCTCCATTCAAACAAAGCAGAAAAAAACCCCCAACAAACTGTTCTGCAATT